GCCTTGCTCCCAGAGATGCGGTCCCTCTCGGGAGGGTAACAAGGGAAAGTGTTCAGTGCAGATCAGTGAGTAAGCACAAGCCCGCCCGTGCTTACCTTGCTCCCGGAGACCTGGTCCCTCTTGGGAGGGTAACAAGGGAAAGTGTTCAGTGCAGATCAGTGAGCAAGCACCAGCCCGCCCATGCTTACCTTGCTCCCGGAGACCCGGTCCCTCTCGGGAGGGTAACAAGGGAAAGTGTTCCATATTGTAGGAGATACTAGGTTATTTCTTAAGAAAGTATATGCAATACCTCCTTTTATACAACACAAATCTTTCAAATGAATGGGTAGGGGTAGTTGCTGCCATAAAGAAATAATAAAATTTAATGACAAATATCACTTAGAAATAAGCTGCTATTTCACTGGGGTTTCCTAGTAATTAGCACTTTTTCTTCTTTCTCATAGCAAACACTGAAGAAAAAATGGGTGGAGTTCAGATCTCTGCAGTTACAGGAACAGCGTCTGCTTCATGGTAAATGTGATTTCCTGTTTAGAAACCACAGTAACATTTCATCCTTTCAGTATTTCACCCTCTAAGTTGTTTTAAGATTATCATCGTTACAAGAAAACTTTGTCTCGTTCCAATCAAAGATACCAGTCTATGTTTTTTTTGAGTGCCCTTTAGAGTGGCTTGTAAATTAGGTAAGTCAACACATAACGCATATGCACACAAACACACACATGCACATACATGGATGCACATAAACACAGGGGGCACCTAGAGATGTGAGAAGAACAGTAGGAAACATTACCTGACTCTCCTACTAGTTCAGCAGTTGAGTTAAATTCATGAGAACATTTATGACATAGGGACTGTGCAGTTCTCAGAAGCTCTTGAGACTGGAATGGTTGCCCATTTCTTGGGTAGAATGCCTATCATTTCTTCAAATTATATACATTCCATTTAGGTAAAAAATCCTTCTTCATGGCCACCAAAACCAAGGTAGAAATGTGTAAGATTATTAGAAAAACAGGCACATGGCTCTTGGTATTTTAGGCATTTTGAAGGGAAGGTTTGAGTTAAAAAATGTGTTGATTTGACATATACTGTGTGACTGGTGTAACCTGAGGAATGAACTTGCATGTGCAAATAATTTGCTGAAACCACCAGCTATGTGGGTGTGAATATGGGTCATATCTTTTTCAGAAGATACCACCCTAAGTCTCTATTTATATCTAGAATAGATTAATTGTTGATTAGAGACTAATTATAGCTTAGAGGTTTGTGTTGGAATTCTGTTTTCTAAAAAGCAGAATTATTTGAAATGTATGTAGCAGTTCTTTTTTTATGTTTTTGAGTTAATATACATTTTTTAAAAAACTCCATAATAGAATTTTGGGGGCCAGAAGTTTGTCAGTGAGTCAGAGATATAAAAAAAATCTTTGCAATTTCTTTATTTCAGCCACCTCTGGAAATCTGAAAACAAAAGAGTGTTAGGGATGCCTTCACCTCCACTTTTGGAGCATCTGGGAGTGGAGATGGGGTTTGGCAGTCCTGGAGTTCGATGAGAATGGCCTTGTCTATACCCTTGCCCTTTGATCATATTAAGAATGACTATGCATAAACCCACTGGTGTATACATTTTTTGAAAAACTGAGAGAGTTCTTTGGGGTCTACTTTTTCTGTTGTTGTTGATTGCTATGGAGTTGATTCTGGTGGCATAGTTATTAAGGCATGTGGCTGTTAACCAGAATGTTGGTGGTTTGAACTCACCAGCTGCTCTGCAGAAGAAAGTTAAGGCAGTCTGCTTCCGTAAAGATTTACAGGCTTGGAAAACCAGTAGGGGTCTCTATGAGTTGGAATTGACTTGATGGCACTGAGTTTGGATTTTTGACTCACAGGGACTCCACGTGTATAGAGTAGCTCTGCTGCATAGGGGTTTCCAGGCTGTGACCTTTCAGAAGCAAATCGCCATACCTTACTTTTGAGGCACTCCTGGGTGGGCACGTACCCATTTGCGACACCTAGGAAAATATTGTGACTAGTCACTGCAGGAGCTCTGGTAGAGTAATGCCTAAGGCACTTGACTGCTAACCAGAAGGCTGGTGGTTCAAACCCACCAGTCTCTCCTCGGAAGGAAGATGGGGCAATCTACTTCCGTAGTGATACTCCTTCGGAAACCCAAGAAGGGGTCGCTATGAGTCGGGTCCGATTTGACGGCACATAACAACAACAGTCCCTGCAGAGCTGGCTATATTTAACCCAACTGATCACATGGAAAAGAAGCAGTCACTTTATATGTTATCAACCAAAGACAAAGGAGAGTAGCCGTAGAGATATGAGCATAAAGTAAAACCATTCTGTGTGTGCAATCTTTTTTTTTTTTTTTCTTTTTGAAGCAGAGTCAGTTTTATTTAGGGTTTCTTCAGGTTGGTACTACAATTATTTTCCTTTCTTTAACCAGCATACCAACCAACTCAAATAGCGAGGAAGCAAGTGGGGTATGGGCAGGAAGTCAGTGTGTGATTAAAATTTGACTTTGGAGAACTCAAATGTACGTATGAAAGGCTGATGAAAGTATTCAGGCAAGTGGTTAAAATTCAGTTTCCTCAAATACATTATTACTTATTTGAGGACAGGGATCTTTTCTGGATATAGTACTTTTACAGAAAGTATTTTAGACTATTTAGGTTGAAAGATATATTTGATTTCAAAAATCTTTTCTATTTTTAAATGTCTTTGATTTTCTATAATTGGTCTACAGGTGTAGGTTTTAGAATTGTTTTCCTCTACACTTTAAATGATTTTATCAGAATTTTATGATTATTAAAAAAGACAATACTAAGAATCAGAAGAACTAAATGGAGAAATCATATAAGACAGTATTTCCCAAAGTGTACTCTTTGTAACCTTATATCTGTGAGAATGTTAATTAAAGGTTCCATAGTTACTTAATTCTGGGAAATTGTCCTTTTGGAGATACACAGACTTTATTGGCATACTGTTGGCTCTCACATGAACATTCCTGTTAAATTTGTTTGATCTAGCACTATGATTTTCTTGACCACAGCACTCTCTTACAGGGAAACAGTGTCTGTGAAACATAGTTGGGAAAACTTACATTAAAATTTATCAAATGGTATCACAAATAGTCAGTCATGTAAGTAAAAGCTCAGTGAAAGATACTGCTCACCCTTATGCCTTTCTAAGAAATTTTGCTGTGTGGAGTGGTTTCTGCTGTGATGATTTGTAGATCCATTCCAGTAGACTTACTTGTTTTCTGAATTCTAGGTGATGCAGCTAACTGCCCAAGTTTGGAAAACACGGACATAGATGAATTGTCCTTGTTTGGAACGTTGCCTGGGCCCAGCGCAGCTCTCGTGGACCGAAATAGATTATCCAGTGAAAGCAGCTGTAAGAGCTGGATGAGTTCCATGACCCTGGACAGCGAGGATGGCTACCAGACTTGTGCGTCTGAAGACTCAAGCAGGGAGGCCTTCAGCCGGCAGACAAGCACAGATGATGAGTGCTTTGGCCTCAAGGATGGGGACGATTTTCTGAGGAGGTCTTCTTGGAGGAGGAACCGGAGCATCAGCACGGCCAGCAGTGGGTCCATGTCTCCATCCTGTGAGGGCAACTTCGCGAGCATGTTTGGGACCCTGCCCCGGAAAAGCAGAAGGGGAAGTGTCCGGAAACAACTTTTGAAATTCATCCCTGGTCTTCACCGCGCGGTGGAAGAGGAAGAGAGTCGCTTTTGACCGCTTGTGGTGTCCTTTCATATTAGCTCATTTCAGAAATATCTCTAGACTTGTCTAAATCGACTCCACCCAGTTCAGTGGGAAAGTGCAGATAGATTGAGAAACTGACATCCCATTTTACAGCAATAATGACTTTTATTTAAACTTTTGTGTTTTGCTCCTTAAATCATTTTTTCAGCCAGAACAGCTGACATTCTAAGCAGTTAGGGAAATCTGATCATAAATTAGAAAACATAAAAAATTAGCAAAAGTTCCTGTTCACTCTAATATTGCTTATGAAGGCAAGAGTTTTTTTTTTTTTTCTAGATTATTCATGTCAAAAATTGAGGCCTTTTTGGTGTTAATTTTGAGGAAGAGTCCGAGAGAATATAACTGTTGGAGTACTTTCCCTGCGTTAATGGATATGTTATAAAACCTTAGCTTAAGTTTAGTAGACTCCGGGGATGCTTTAAAATATGTAATTTTGAATGTATATGTCCAGTTCTATGAAAGGTTATAACTGAAGGTGACTGTGAGCCATTTTGCATGTCCAACAGCCATAATACAACAGGAAATTTAAGATTTAGTGGAAGTAGAGGTCTAAGCTTCATGAGAAACATGGAAAGTGGTTGTTGGTCTGAGTTAAATGTAGAGGAAGATTCCAGTAAGGTGTTTTTGTTTATTTTATTTATTTATTTTTTGAAATAGGAAGCATTATAGAAATGGGCAAGAATCTCATTTTTCCCCCAATTCAACTTTTGTTCTACTGAAACATTGAGGACAAGTCTGGGAGACTTCTAGCACTCTGCAGATGTCTAAGTTTATTTTGTTGGTATGTTTGCCTGATATTCTTTGCTCCAAATGCCTAAAGTCTGAAATAGTAAGAGTTGGGGAAGACTTTTTCTCCCATAGCTTTTTTCACATCATCCCTCACTTAATATTTTATGTCACAAATAGTTATTATCTCAGCTCTTTTTTTGTATATTAGTTATGTTAGTATTACATTACATCTACACTTTAAACCATCTTTTTATTCAGTAGCTATTAAAGTATATGATTTTTCTGTTCTGGTGATGCAGCTGCTACTACTTATACTCTAGAGTAGATAATGCAGACTATGTAATAAATACTTCCTAATGATTTTAAACTGTGTATTTATGTGTGTGTGGGTGTGTGGGTGTGTGGGTGTGTGTGGGTGTGTGGGTGTGTGTAGTTGGAGAAGGAGAGAAAATTTGTTTTGAGTGGGACTGCTATACTTCAGTAAACTTTTGAGTAATCTAAGGATTTTCCATTTTGAGAGGAAAAAAGTATAATTTTCATAGAAGAGAGGATGAGGAATCTTGTCGGGAAATAAAATACGAAAGACTTGCAATTATGACCTAGATAAACAAACCCACTGCCATCGGGTCGATTCTGACTCATAGTGACCCCCATTGAGATTCTAAAGCTGTAAGTCTTTAAGGAAGTAGATTGCCTAATCTTCCTCCCATGGAGCAGCTGGTGGGTTTGAACCACAGACCTTCTAGGTAACGTTCAAATGCCTTATGCACTACACCACCAAAACCAAAAAACCAAACTCACTGCCATTGAGTTGATTCTGAGGTGGTACATTTTTAAGGAAGTAGATTGCCCAGTCTTCCTTCCATGGAGTGGCTGGTGGGTTTGAACCACCAACCTTCTGGTCAGCAGTCAAATGCCTTAGGCACAAGAGTTCCTTAATTATGATCTACTTTCTATTAATTCTTTGGACTTAGAAGCCTCCATTGGGTGATGAGATGAATGAGTGTCATTCAGATGAAAGGCCAGGTGTTGGGTTGTTCCCTGAAACAATATTATGCATGTCTGTATGAGTCAGGATGGACTCAATGGCAGTGGGTGTTTTGGTTTTAGTAGGTTAAAGATGAAATACATGTTATTCTCTCAATAACCTGTAGACAGGTGTTGTTGTTGTTGTTATGTGCCGTCGAGTTAGGCAAACAGATAAGGAAGCAGGATTTCAGAGAAGTTCTCAAGGCCACACAGTCAGTGGTAGGGCCAAATCTGGAAGCTAGTTCTTTCTGGCTGTACCTTATCCTCTTAGCCTTTGTCAATATTGTTTATTCTTTTGCTGTTAATATGTAGATATCCCCACAGGACATATATATGCCACTCAACCACTGCTGTGGAGGCAGATCTGACTCACAGCGACCCCTCCTTGGGTTTCTGAGGCAGTATCACTATGGAAGTAGATTGCCCAACCTTCCTTCCAAGGAGAGGCTGATGGTTTTGAACCACCAGCCTTCTGGTTAGCCGTCAAATGCCTTAGGCACTATGCCACCAGAGCACCCCAGGATGTGTGTGTGTGTGTATGTGTGTATGTATATGTATGTATGTATATATATATATATATTTTTTTTATTTTTTATTTTTCCTGCAAGGCACCACTGCAGGTGGTTGACTCAGCAACCCTATAGGACAGTGTAGAAGTACCCCTGCCCCATAGCGTTTCCAAGGCTGTAAACTTTACAGAAGCAGACTGCCACATCTTTCTCTCGTGGAGCAACTGGTGGATTTGAACTGCTGAATTTTTGGCTGCATAATTGTATATGCTTCATGGGTAATGATATTGTCTTCAGTAAAGAGGAAAAATTTTTAGAGTAATTTTTTCTCCTGGCTTCCACAAGCAAATTTTCAGATACTCAAACAAACAAGCAAAAAACACCTCACTGCTGTTGAGTTAGTTCCGACTCATTTTGACCCCTCCTTGGGTTTCTGAGGTGGTATCTCTACGGAAGGAGCTTGCCAAGTCTTCCTTCCAAGGAGTGTCTGGTGAGTATGAACTACCAGCCTTCTGGTTAGCAGTTAAATGCCTTAGGCACTATGCCACCAGAGTAACTGTCTAGTTACAGTATATTATATTCAACTTGAAAACTAGTTGTGATTCAACTGATATTGCTTACTTCTCATTGTAGACTAGAATTACCAAGTTACAGAATTATCAAAGCTGAAGACAGCTCATTAGCCTTTTTTCTCCAAAGTTTAGTGGAAAGATATATCATGTTTACTTGAGGAGAGATGACTTTAAATCTTCTGCAATGTGAAAAGTGCTCTGAGGACTATCACAGGTTATCCGGGAAAGCAGACTATAGATCATTTGCTTTTCTGGCAGTTTTAAGTGTTTAATTTAGTATAACTAATGTAAAGTGAGACATCTTTCCATCATTGTGTACATGTGAAAAGAAGTACACAAGTAAGAAATATTATAATAATATAATAAATGAGCTAATTATGTGGAACATGGGCTCAGCTCCACTGGTGTGTCTGTCTAGGAAGAAAATTGTATGCATTTGTGTTTTGGAAAGAGGAATTAATTTTTTGAATGTTCTCAGACACCATATAGAAAATTCAAATTCAAGAGTACCTAGAAGATGACAAAGCTTCACTGATCACTAAATGATGTATTTGTTGTTTCTGAATGACAATAAAGGCCAAACTTGAAATGGGGGCAGAGAAAGGGTATAGCAAGTTTCACCGTGGTCTGTGATAAAGGAGTTATAGCTAAGAGTTAGGTGTGTTCTGGAAAGGGGGAGGGGGGAGCATTGGTTAACCAAGGTACAGGAAGGAAGACTATGTCATGTTTTATGTGTTCACAACGTGTAAGAAAATTAGCTGTTGTTTAGTGGAAATGTGGGTAAATTTCTCACAGCAAAGCTTTTCAGATTGAGAACGGCTTTAGAAGATTTTGTTTCTCTCATCTTCTAGTGCAAAGTGACTCATTTTGATGTAATTTACTGGGAAAAGAAAACTAAAGTGGTTTTTTAACCCAAAGTTGTCAAGTAATACAATATTGGTGAACTGCACTCACAATTTGTTATGAAAATGCATCTTTCTAGAGTTATGTCTGATAAACCTAATCGGAATCAAGCATATTGGGGAATTAGTCTCTCATGTGATGGAAGGAGCCACAAGATGTCAAACAGGTTGGAACTTTATTTTTTGAAAGGAGTTTTTATTTATTACTAGGAGCTCTGGTGGCGTGGTGCCTAAGACATTTGACTGCTAACCAGAAGGCTGGCAGTTCAAACCCACGTGATACTGCCTCGAAAACCCAAGGGGGGGTGGTGGTCGCAATGAATCAGATCCGACTTGATGGCAGTGGGTTAGTTAGTTTAGTTACTGTGCAACACCTTTGATATCTTACTTGCATGATACAAACAGTATTAAAAATCTCAGTTTAAACTGAAGAAATCAAACTTAGATACAGTTTGCATGTACTTATCATAAAGGATAAGTATTTATGGATGTATACAATGTTAAGTATTATAAACAATACATAACAACTATAGTGAGTCCTTGAAACACAAAAGCATTGTTATTTTACTTCCACTTTCCTTACAGAGCTATGGGATATAAAATCAAAGATTGATACTTTTCTGAAATAAAGAAATGCTATTCATCAGTGACAGAACTCACTATCTATCTATCTCTCTATCTATCATCTATCACCCTTCCTTCCCCTCTTCCTTCCTTCCTCCTTGCCTCCCTTCCTCTCTTAAATGATTGTTTCAAAAGCAGATTTTATTAAACCTCAGGTAACCTCTAGACATCTCTTCCTTTAGGCCCTTAACAAGTACTCAGTACTTAACAGAAGTTTTCCACTTACATTGTTTCTCTACTGTTGTGTAACAAATTACTACACACTTCAAGACTAAAAGAAAAACAAAAAAACCCACATTTATCGCCGTTTCTGTGGGCTCAGCTGAGTCCAAGTTTCTGGGTCCCATAAGGATATAATCAAGCTGCTGATCAGGGTTGAGTTCTCATTGGAGGCTTGGTTTCTCCCTTTCAGAAGCAAACAAGAGTGAAGAGAATCAGACTCAAGGAAGTAATTATTCCAAAGGACAAATGGATTACATGAACTTCAGCATCCACAACACTGAGACCAGAAGAACTCGATGGTGCCTGGTTACCACTAATGACTACTCTTGAAGGGGATCACAATAGGAGGTCCTGGATACAGTGGGAGAAAAATGTGATACAAAACTCAAAATAATAGAAAAGACCAGCCTTACTAGTAAATAGAGACTGGTAGAACCCCTGAGACTCAGAAATCCTTTAAGCCTAAAACTGAACTCACTTCGGTGGCTCAACTTTCAGCTGAAAGATAGAGCTATAATATGAACAGTAACGCCAGGGAGGTATGCGCTCCTTAGAACAATTAACCATAAGAGATAACAAGGCAGCA